CCCCCCCCCGTCCCAACAGTCGTCGCCCTCACGATGTCGGACCTGCGGCGGCGAGGTAAGGTCAACCGCCTGGGCCTGTGCGGTACGAACGGCGCCAAGTTCCCGGGCATCCGCGCGCACATGCAGCGCGCGATCGGCGACCAGTACCGGGACTTGGACCTCACGATGGAGAGCTGGCCCGCGGAGGACGGCCCACGGGATCCGGCAGCCTACAAGTACGCTCACGCGTGCATGTTTTTGTGTGTGTGTGTGGGCGCATGTGTGTATTTTTTGTTGTTGGCATCTACCGCGCCAAACCGGCTGACCGAGTAAGAAGGCGTCAGAGCTATTATTGTAGCGGGATAAAAGAGACGCGGACACGCTTTCTCACGGAGGGATTCTACTGTACCGACAGGAACGTGTATGTGTGTGTTTCGTATTTGCGTCGCCCGCCCTAACTGGCTGACCCGTTCGTGCTTGATAAAACGGGCCACGACCGAACGACCGAACGAATGAAACCTTCCAGGGAAGCGCTGGACACGTTCGACCCAGGGGACGCGTGCACGGTCTTCACGCCCGACGATACCCACTTCGACATCGCCATGGAGGCCGTCAAGCGGGGTATGCACGCGATCGTCACCAAGCCGGTCGTCAAGACCCTCAAGGAGCACCGCGCCCTCCACGAGGCCGCCAAGGAGGCCGGCGTCCTCGTGATGGTGGAGGTGCACAAGCGGTTCGACCCCATCTACGTAGACGCCCGCGACAGGATACGGGACCTGGGGGGGATGTCGTACATGTACTCGTACATGTCTCAGCCAAAGGTTTGTTGGTCTGGGTAATGTTAATGCGTGTGGTTTCTTGCATGTTTGTTGTGTGTGTTGTGTGTGTGTGTGTGTGTGTGTGTGTGTGTGTTTGCTTCGTATTATTATTAACATCGGCCGCGCTAGTCGGCTGTGCAATGAAAAGACGTCAGTCTCAGTGCGGTTGAAAACACAAAAAGTGTGCGCGTGTGTGTCATGCGCGTGTTGTTCTTTTTGCCTGCGCCCCGTCTTTGATTGTTGTGGCCAGAGGTTTATTTCTTTGTGTACTTGTTACCTTTGTGGCTCATGCCTCGTGCGTGTTTTAGTGCGTGGGTGCGTGTCGTGGGTGTTTGCATTGCTCTTGGGTTGTCTTGATACCATTAATCGCGTATCCAACTAGTACAGTAGATGTCCCTGTTTAGTGCCGGTTGAATAATGCCGGTTTCCGGTATAGTGCCGGTCAAATCTCGGCGCACAGAACCCGTCCTGAATAGTGCCACACCGGCACTATCCAGGGCTGCCCACTATAGTGCCGGTTCGGGCCCCACTGAACCCCACACAAGTGCCGGTTCAAGCACGCACGCACACATAACACAGAAGACAGACACAGAGGAGAGGGTAGACGTGCTGCTGCAGACCCGAACAGCTCTAGTAAGGGCGGGGGTTACAGCTGCAGCGGCTGTTTGATTTCTTTCATGTCCCGTTCTTGCAAACGTGTTTTTTTTTTCTTGTTCTGGCTACATCGAAGGAGGGTGAGGAGGAGACAGATTTGGCTTCCTCTTTCACCAATAGGTTGTGCCAGCAGAAGCGTCGCAAAAGTATTACGGCCAAAAATCCATGGGCTTCATGATCAGTGGTTTGCTTTCGCTGTCGAGGAGTGATGTTGAGGTTGCGCGAAATGGTTTGATCCGTTGAAGGCCAGTGCCACGGCATTCTTGCCAACAAACTATTGGACACCTATCAGGTGCACCCTTTGCGTGATGCGTTTAAGTCAGGTTGTGCAAGTGTGCAGTACGTGCGCTGAGGTGGGTACAGCAACAAGGTGCAGCATGTGTGTCCCGTCCAGTTAACTTATTAAGCAAAATATGTGTGTTCGACAGGGCAGGAACCACCCCTATCGTGGCACAGCAGTCTGCCCGCGACGCCCATGCCATGATCTCACCATGTACGTTTCATGTGGTACTCTGTTGGCCCCGCAAAGCAAAGCGCTGCACTCTGAAATCCCACAGTTCGTCGATAGTGCCGGTCTGGCACTATTGAGGGATTTTCAGACCCTGAATAGTGCCCCTTTGGCACTATTCAGGCACTCTGAAGAATAGTGCCGGTGCCCGGTATAGTGCCGGTGAATTTTTTGCGCACACCCCAGCACTAAACAGGGACCTCTACTGTAATCGATAGCGTTGTTGTGAAGCAAGGAGAGCGAACACGACACACGCTTATTCGTTCTGCCTTCAAAGATCGAGGCAAACTCACGAACACAAACATCATGTTGGATTCAATAGTCACGGGGACAAACGAAACCCTCCAGGAACCGGACGTGTAATGCAATTGTTAGCGATGTCTTCGGCTAGGGTCCGACACGACTACCTCCAAAGAGGAAAAGTTGAGAAACTCGCCTTATGTGATGCTTCTTTTTCATGTTGCCTCAAATAACGCGAGTGTCTCCATTCGTTCTTTTCGGTGATAGTCGTCCTGGTGCCTAGCCGGAGACCATCACCAACGATTGTACCGCAAGTCTGGTTCGTGGAAGGGTTTTGTGCGTTTTCTTGATTCTCAAATCCAACATGATGTTGCGTTTGTATGTTTGCCTCGGTCTTTGGAAGGTAGAATGATAACGATAAGCGTGTGTTGAATTCGCTCTCTTCGCTTCAAACAAACGCTAACGGCGACTTCAACTGTTTAGCATGTCCACCGATACCCTGTACTGCACTTGACGGACAACAACCGTGGCGATCACGAGTGTTTCGCTGCATCCTCCACCCCTTTCATGGAAACGTGTTCGCCTTGCCCCCGCTTGCTGCGTCCGTCCCCCTCGCAGCACCAACTCGACACGTTTCGCGCATGGGCCGGTAAGAGCAGCGACATCAGCTACTACCTCAACTCGCACCACGTCGACTTCCAAGAGTGGGCCAATATGGTGAGTCATACGTACATACATACATACATACATACATACATACATACATACATACATACATACATACATACATACATACATACATTAGAAAACGTAAATACACAGAAAGACTACCCGTTCGAGATACATACATACATTCATTAGGAAACGTAAATACAAACACAGAAAGACTACCCGTTCGAGATATAACCACAGTCGAACGGGATGTGTTGGAGCCTTCGCAGTGAGTGGAGGGAAACCGGCTGGGTACTGGGCTTATTTCGAGTCTATTTAAGCCTTTACACTGAAAAACAACCATCAGTGATGCCAGTAGGTGTTGATCACAAAAACACTATAAGTACATACCACAAGACGTATTATATGGTACATGGTCGCCAAAAGTTGCTTTTCTCGTGGCGTAACGGAGAGGCGACGACCGCCATGTTTGGATGATGACCCCCAATCATGCGTGGAACACGTGGCCTCTGTCCTGTTTTACTTTCCTGTCTGAAGTACCGGTGGACTAACCGCGTTTTTCTCCCGCCTGTGGCGTTCGGTCCCTCGTAAGGTATGCCCCTTGTTGCTCCGATGCTGCTCCTTACCCCCCATCCTATTGATGGTGCAACGATTTCAGTGCTGCGTCCTTGTCTTTTGTCGATCACGAACGTACGCACATAGCGGTAATTCTTGTTTTCAGTTTTTTTGGTCGATCACCAATATCTTCCAGTGGTTGCGTTAAGAGTGTCGCGCTCGTCTGCGTGGGAGCGCATCCGGGTACAGTGAGCGGCAGCACCGGTCTTTCCATACGCGCGCGTGAGGAAGGCCCTAGAGCAGCAGCAGGCTTTCTCCTGTTGCCGTCCACCAATTTCTATTGTTATCTGGACGAAAGACGTGGCGACGGTCGTCACGATCTCTTTTGTCGACGCGGTGCCAGAACCATGGCGGGCAACGTCGATCGATGTCGTGAGCAGTACTTATTTGCTTTTTCCCAGCGACAAGCAACAATCCGGGACCTGTGCGTAGTTCGCTGTTGTCCTTCGCTTCTTGCTGCGATTTTTGACGTGATGAAAAAGCCTGTTTATATTTCCCGGCGAGTTCCCCCCCTCCCCCCGGGTCCTTGCTTGCTCAGGGAATTTCCCGCCCGACGCGCGTAACGGCTGCGGGGAGCACGGGCGTGGCGAGCGGGAAATTCGACATCGCCACGGAAGACACCATCACGCTGCTGGTGGAGTGGGAGAATATAGAAGATGGAAGCAAGTGAGAAGAATAGATCGACAGTGGTAGTATTTGCCTTCATTGGTGGTGATTCTCGCCGCTCCAAGCAATCTAATAACATGACCCAACTCTTGAGTAGCCTGAGAGAGGCCGGGACAGGGGTTCAATGGGTGACTGCTTGGGGTCGCTTGGGGGGGAAGCACGTGTGCTCAGTCTAATCCAAGGACGCATGCATCTCTGAAGGCAGACACTGTTTAACCGCCTCCCGCCCTTCGCACGAAGAGAAAGAGACGTTCACTCCGGCCGTGCAGTGTCAGCGCTTCAAGCAGTCTTACTTAGAGTGTCGTGGACCGTCAAGCCCATCGTCATTCGCTATGAGAATCGGCGCTCCAAGCAACCCTGTTCACTAATCGTGCAGTGCAGCAGCAAGGAGTTTCCTTCTGTGCTACACGATTAGTGTATGAAGCTGCTTGGCGCCGCGAGACTCGCTGCGAATAAAGATGGGCTTGGCGGTCTTCGCCCCGGAAAATATTCTCCACCATGTCGCTGCGCTTTGTACTCTCCTATCAACCTGGCACGGACCCTCGCGCGCGCCAGGGTATGGGCGGAATACTCGGACTTGGTAGGAGCAAGGGGCAGGGAGAACTCGGGTCCTGCTGTCTTCGCCTTGGTGGAGTGCGTAATAGTCAAAAACTTTGATTTTTTCCTCTCGCTATCGTTTGGGTTACGGCCAACTCCTGCGTGTAGCCCGGGGGTGACTGCGCGGGGGACCAATGACCAGAGTGATAACTGGGGGGGAAGCATGTGTGCCGGCTTTCTCATTAATAAGCGAAGTCTAGTCCAAGCACTACCGCTCTTCGCAAAGAGAGACACACGCTCACTCCGGCCGTACAGCGGTGCGGGTTAAAGTACCTATTTCTCTCCGGCTTATTAATTTTTGTCCGTCGCCTTTCCCTCTGTTTTGGTTTCGTTCTCCCCGTGGTGGCGGTCGCGGCAAAAAAAAAAAAAATCCTCCCCCCGCCCCCGGCGGCTGCGATGGCGCGCCTGCGAAAAAGGGGCACCGCGGTTTACACCTCGTCGTGGGTGGCCCCCAAGGCCGACGTGCACAGCCAGCAGCGGTTCTTCTACATGGGGCAGAAGGGGGAGATCAACGTGGACCAGGCGCACCGCGGCTACACTGTCGCCAAGGACGGGGACGGCTTCCGGAGCGTCAACCCCCTCTTCATGAAGTACACGCCTACCGACGGTGAGGGGGAAGGAAGAAGAAATGAATGATGCGCTTGGGTGTGGGGGTTTTGTGGGAGATTGTTCAGAGCTGGTACGTATTCAATGCCTGCGATTGAGAGGGAGTGTGACGGGGGGAGATATTGGCTTGTGCCGTAGGTCTTGTTTTGTTGTGTTTTGGGTGAGTGTGGCTAATTGCGGGGAAAAAACGGGCACCGCTATTTTCGCGTCGCGTTGGGGCACGGTTGCGGTGGTCGGCCGTGGCAACGCCTTGCAGCGGCAATGAATACACCGGTGGGCACGTGTCTGGTTGACCATGAGATACAGCAGCGTATTGCACGTGCTTTGTTTTTTCATCACCCTCGACTCGACCAGGCCGCAACGGAACCAGAAATGCAGGCGTAGGGTTCAAGAAGATACGAGTACCCCGTGCGACATGCTTGCCTTGCCCTCCGCATGCCCCAACACAACGACCACCGCTCCCTCTGTTTTGGTCAACTTTACCCCTGGCCGCATTCGGCTCTCCGGCCCTTTCGGATGATCCTGTTTTGTCATTGTTGGCAGGCGCTCTCGCTGCTCCGTTCCTCTCGTGGGCGTATCATCGCCCTGTAGTTGTTGCTGTGGCGTTCGTGCTACGTGACTCTTGTTTTTCACGTGTTGCTGTATGTTTGTTCTGTATTAAAAATCATCAACCCAGGGTACTTCTCCGGCCAGACCGGTTACGGCTACCGAAGCTTCGAGGCCTTCGTCGACGCGGTTCGGCAGATCGAGGCTGGCATGGCCACACCAGAGGTGAGAGCTTTCGAAGTCGAACGGTCAGCTCCCCACACAACCTCTCACGCAGCAGCAGCAGCAGCAGCAACAGCAACAGCAACAGCAAGTAGCAGCAGGTAGCAGCAGCAGAGGCATGAACCATCGTAGCTGCTGAACTCTCATCAATACTGACAAAAGAACATGTAGCGCTTTGCCGCGGTGTTGCATCAAAAGGTGGCAACTGAAAATTCAGTGGTCCAGGTCCCGGTGGCAGCGGTAAATGCCCGAGTCCGTATTTTCCTGTTGTCGGTGTCATCGTTTTTCTCATTTCGTCGACGGTGTCCTGGGATATTATTTAGCCATAAAGAGTTCCCGGGCCCACGTCACGAGTTTTCAGCACGGTTTGCTGTTGTTTTGTTAATCTCGCACGCATTTGAACGACGCTGCCACGATTATCATGCGGCCCCCCAAACTGCCGTCTCTCACACGACAGACCTTCGACTCGAAGCTGGCCACGATAGGCACCACCTACCTGACCACCGCCATCCTTGAGGCCGGCCGCCTCAGCCTCGACGCCAACGGCCGACCGTTCGATATCACCTACGGCGGAGAGGACAAGCACATCCCCACCGACATCGTGCCTGTGGAGTTCTGATGTGGTGGTTTTCGGGTTCCTTCCCTCCGAGATGGCTCCGTAATGCGTTGTGGATACACGGTCGGTGTGGCTATGTTGCCCGCCGCCGCCCCTTCTTGTGTGTGTCGTTTTTTTCTTTTTGGGGGCTTGGGCTCTGTTCGTCGGCACGGGATACGTGCTATCGCAGCAAGTGTCCCATGTACGCAAGGTTTTAAGAAAGTCATGTCAATTGCGGATAATTGAGTAAACCGAACGATACAAGGTACCTGAAGATGACGCCAGAAATGATGTTTCGAGAACGGGCTCTAAATTTTGTGGCGGCTGATAACTTTAAGTTTTGCTTGCAGAACTTGATGCCCGTTTTCTGGGACTTTCTCTTCACGTGCGGCTGTTCCCCCGCTGGACGAAAAGTTAGCGCACGTCGGGTGGGTCGACCGACGCTGGGAGGCAAAAGACGGCGATGCATGCGCTCGCTTGCGTCGATGTCAGGTTGAGTAGCAAGAACCGACTGGTTGTCTGATCCTTGCCGCACCCAGGGACACCGTTTGCATGCACTCCGTTCACCCGGTCGTTCAGCAGGGAAAAAAAGGCCATCGGTACATGTCTATGCCGTGCGCCGCACACGCGAGTCTTGCTCGTTCGTGGGGGGGGGGGGGGGGGGGGGGGGGGNGGGGGGGGGGGGGGGGGGGGGGGGGGGGGGGGTGCTGATGTGTACGGGCCGATGCTGTGTACAAGCAAGCAGCCGTGTTTGTTTTTTGGGAGCCGTGAGAATTGGTGGTGACGCAGCCGTGTGTGCGCCCTGAGGCGTATCAAAACGACGAAAACCTCAACACCCGTTACATGAAAAAATGTTACAGCTAACACATCGCAGGAGAACGCCGGAGCAGTGACCACCACGAACTTCCCACCAGGTCTCCAAAAAACACGGCACAAGCACCACTGCCATGGTTCCGTTTTTCACCAGCTGGTGATGACACCGCTGCTGCTTTCACTTCCATCTCAACCCCACTGGTGACGACGATTCTCAGGGAACGAACCACCTGGTGAGTCGACAACGACAACAGCAGAACAAGGATGTCCTTGTGATCGTGGCATCACCGCTAACAGAGTGCATTGTCCATGGCCCATCCTACCGCCCCGGGCGCATCCCCCCCCCCCGGACTCTGTACCGCCCGACCTCGTCGTACCCGCAGTACGTTGCCTGGTGTGCTTTCAAAACACATCACACACAGGTCAGGTCGCTACTCCTGTCGTCCCGTATTGGGAGCAGTGGGGTACATGCTTCTCCGCGTTATGGCAGACCACCTCTAGCTTGGACTTGAGGGACGAACAAAGCCCCAGAGCCCCATCGCGTGCCTTCCTCGTACTTCATACCATCTGTTTGAAGAGATGGCCGTGTACCCTCGCAACGCTCTCGTTGAAACAAAAGGGGTACAAAAAGTTGCACCTATTTTCAATTCATCCCGTCTTCTCCTTCTCCCACCCTGGCGCTCCTCCGTCCCTTCCTTCAGGACCCGACTGTGTTCGATCGTCCTTCCCAACCGCCTCGCGTGGCTTCCTCTCTCTAACCGAACTACCGGAGCCGTTCCGTGCCTTCTCCTCCTGCTCCTGCTTGCCACTGACGCTAGGGCTTTTACTATCCCGTCTGCAGGCTGCGCCCGATGTCCACGGTAGGAGTATGAGTCCGGCCAGCACCCGACAGGCCCCGACCGCGATCGCGAGCAACGCCTGCCAGCAGGCCAGCAGGGCGAAGAGCCTCCCGCACCACCTCAGGTCCCTCTCGCCGTTTCGCTCCCAGTTCGCCGCCACCCACCTCGCCATCACCGTGTCGCCCAACCTAGGGTAGCCCGCCCCGACGTAGCAGACGAGCAGCACCGCCAGCAGGCAGAGCGCGAGCGCCGCCCGCCGCGCCGCTGTCCCCTGAGACGACTTCGGCAGGGCGGCGACGGGCGCGTAGGCGGCGGCAGTTCGGGCGGCGGCGTAGGCCGCCGCGGCGGCGGCGAGGAGGCAGACGTAGTTGTAGAACGGGGCGTTCGTGGCGGCGGCGACGGCGGCGGCGTGCTCCGACGAGGCCAGGCTCGCGAAGGCCGGGGAAAAGCCGTGGGCGTAGTGGAGGGCGGCGGTGGAGATAGCCAGCGCAACAACGAAGGCCGCCTCCACGCAGTGTTGTTCCACCTAGGGGGGGGGGGGGGGGGGGGGGGAGGCGCAAAGCATGGGGGGGGTGCACTCGTTTAAACGCATGGCGCAGTCGCTATGGACCTCGCATCCCTACAGTGCCGGGAGGAGCAAGCGGAGAGGTGGAGGGTGGGTGGTGGCGCTCGGCGGCACGGTTGTGAAGGAGGGCATGGGTTGGGGCTGTCTCTTATACACATCT